CGAGGAGCAGGGCGTGCAAACGACGGAGGACGACGACGAGGAGCTGGGCATGCAAACGACGGACGACGACGACGACGGGGGCGTGCAAACGACGGACGACGACGACGAGGGCCTACAAACGACGGATGGCGACGACGAAGACGCTATGAGCGCCCACCACCCACACCCGTCGACGAGGCTCAATAGCCCACCCTCACTGCCCACCACCCCTTCCCCTCTACCTCACTGCCCACCACCCCTTGCCCCTCTACCTACTACCCACCACCCCTCTCCTTCACTGCCTACCACCCCTCCCTCCCTCATTACCTACACCCCCTTCTTCCCTCCCTCATTGCCCACCACCCCTTTCCCCCTCCCTCATTGCCTACCACCCCTTTCCCTTCTCCCTCATTGATTGCCCACCACCCCTTTCCCTTCTTCCTCATTGGCCACCACCCCTCTCCCCTCTCCCTCATTGGCCACCACCCCCACCCCTCTTCCTCACTGCCTACAACCTCCCTCCCTCATTCCCTCCCCCTTCCCTTTATTTAGTATTTAATGTAGTAATATAACATTATGTAGTTATATTGAATAAACTGTGCCTTTCTCTCCTGAATTCTACACATGAACTAAGTATATCTGCACTGTTCTTGGATATATCTATAACTTCAGATATATTTACCAAGTACATATATCCTGTTATTTGGATATATCCTGTGGTTTTTACTATGGGTATATTTTTGCAAATATATATCAAGAGGATGTGTAAAGTGTATATGTACTGTTACTTGGATATATAACTTCAGATATATCTTCTAAGTATATATACTGTCATTTGGATATATTCTGTGATATATGCAAGGATGATAGTCTCACACAGTTCAAGGGGAGTGGATATTTACTGTGGATATATTTTTGCAAATATATATACCAAGAAGATGTGTAAAGAAAATGCATATCCACCATACATTGACCATAATTTTATACAGTGCCAATGACGTCTGGGCTTGTGGACATTTGCAGAGGCAGTTTGAGAAGGATTTGAGAGGAAATAGCCAAAAGTCAGAAATTGGGTGCATGCTGCCATTTTTATTAGAGGTATAACAATACACGAGTGCTACATAATATACAATATAAGGAGGTGGGCGATGAAAAAGATGACAGTAATACTACATAGATAGAGTCAGCTGTTATTGCGAGAGCTGTTCTAATGCTGAGTGAAAACTTATGTGGCTTAGAGAGTGAGCTGTTGAGACAAGAGCCTCATAGAAAGGAGAACTCATCTAAAAATAGATGCATGAGTGATCACCTCAATCCTGCCCTCTTACAACCTGGAAGGTTCGTCTCCAATCTTTTCTTGACTCTTCTCGAGCACATGAATAATGAGTATAGATTTGATCGTCTGCTCTATCTGGGTGTGAGCGAGTCCCACCAAGCCCAGGTCAATATTCTTGAAGCCCTGATGAGGAACTTTCAACTTGATCGAGACATAGACTTGTGTTGCATTGCGGAGCAGTGCCCCTTTAACTACACCGGGGCTGATTTCTATGCTCTTTGCTCGGATGCAATGCTCAATGCAATGTTACACAAAGTGGACTTTTTGGAGTCCAAGATAGGTAGGTCAATGCAGAAGTTTTTTGCACTTTTATTATTGACATACTTCTCTCAGCTGACATGAACAAAGTACCAGAAAGTTTGGGTCAACATCCCTATCCAATGACCCCACAATATTTTCTGTCTGAACTTGCATCACCTGATGACTTACTGGTGGCTGTCTCACAAGTAGACTTTGATAATGCCCTAGTCACTCTAGTTCCAAGTGTTACTCAGGCTGAAATGGAACACCACACTTGTGTCCAGCATTGCTTTTCTCAAGGTGCAAATATTTAACTAGGCTACCCTGATCAATGTAGTACATCAATATCATGTTGGTTTAGAATATACAGACAGACTTGCAAGTTGCGGACAAGAAATGGCATGAGCTCCAGGGTCCTGCAAAAAGTTGCCATGTTTGTGGCTGCATAGTCATTTCACAGCCACCTAGTCTCCATTACTATCACATGCTTTAGCGGCAGGCGAGCCCGCCTGGTCCCCAACTCTTTTTTTTCTTACATTGCAGCCACCCCTACTCCCTCTTCCTCCTTGCCTTCAATATAAGCAATGCACGACACCTCTGCGCACATCCCGAACCTTACATGGATCCCCTCAAGTCGGAACCACTCCCAACACCTCCTCAGCCAACTCACACTCCAATCTTGTGCATCCATCTGCATTGCCTGCACCTTTACCTCATTCTGCTATCCTGTCACCTAGCGTCACAGCACGGTTCCCATGTTTCTTATAAGTATATGTAAATATATAATAGTCCTCCAACTTGAATGATTTTGATCTACAATGTTCATTGCCCAAGTCATAGTCCTCCAACTTCAATGGTTGATCTTGTTCATTGTCTAAGACATAGTCATTGAGCGATGATGTTCATTGTCCAAGTCAAAGCCCTCCAACTTGACCAGTTCTGTTGATCTAAAATGTTCATTGCTCAAGTCATAGTCCTCCAACTTGAACAGTTTGGATTAACCATGTTCATTGCTGAACATGGTTTTGATCTATGATGTTCATTCCCCCAATCATAGTCCTCCCATGCAAAGGGGTTTTTTCTTATCCATAATATTCAAGTGCTATAAGAAAAAAATGGACAGTCAGACTGTTGCAGCCTTCATGGAAGCCATGCTAATGGTCTATGTATATCCTACAAACAGTCAAGGAAACACAGCTCCAGATGGTGGCTAAAGCCTTAAAAATAGTAGAAACATCATCTGGAATATATGTCCCACATTACAGAAAATCACAAGTTTTTTTTTAGAAACTGGGACCCCAGACACCCCTATTGGCTGAAGAAATATATCCTTGGTCAACCCCAGCTGCAAAATATATCCTAAGTCCATCCCAGACCAGAAATATATTTCTACAGTGTGACAGTCACAATTCAGGGTCCAGG